TACCTAGACACAGGAGAACTATTGTCGTGAAAGTGTTGTACAATCAATTACGAATTTAGATTGCAGAGAGTTTGTTCTGAGCGCTAAAGGCACTCACGATAGAGCACATTTTGCTTTATTCTAACATGAGGAGCCTGAAAACCTTATTGACTGGGAGACACTGGGCCGCGCTATGCAGTCACTACCTGCCGGACTCCAGCGCTGGATTACAAAACATTGGGTGGGCATGTGCAGCACGGGGAAGTTCATAGTGTATTGGGGCCTTGAATTGTCCGCTGCGTGCCCTTGGTGCGGTGAGTTTGAAGATCACTTGCATGTTCCCCGTTGCCCAGCAGCCTCGGCTAGGGACGAATGGGACCGGAGGGTGACCGCGCTCTCGCTCTGGATGGATATATTTACATCTTACCTCCCCCGCCATCAAACATGCGATACTCCTTCTGCTTCAGGGTGTTCGCGACTCATCACGTCCCCCCTCTTGTTTGATCTCTCGGACCATTCGCCCGGCCTTTCTGGCACAGGAAGCTATTGGGTGTCAGGGACTTTTGGAAGGCAGACTGGCCTCCTTGTGGCTGTCTCTGCAACAAAATTATTTTGACGAGATTCACAGTTGTCGGTCCGTTTCTCTGTGGGCCTCACGTCTCTCCCAGCAACTCATCTCCATTGGGTTCTATATGTGGGAACAACGGAACGCCGTTCAACATCCGGATGACAATGTTCAGCTCCGTGAACGTCACTGTGTTGTCAACGAGGGGATTCACTCTCAGTTTGATATGGGTTCAGCTGATTTACCTCCGGATATTAGACGCATGCTGACATGCTGTCACAGCGTCCTCCGGAAGTCACTGGTGGACAAGGAAGAATGGCTGAAGCTACTTCGACAGGAGCGCAAGGACTATTGTCGCTCTCTGCGGGCTCAACGACGTAGCCTCCGGACTATCTTCTCTGCTCCCCCCTCCTGAACACTTCCCAACGTTCGTGGGACAATAAGAAGCGCCCCGAATTCACCCCGCCTTGCTGCGGGAGAAGTCATTCTTAACGACATGACTTGAGCAACTTCTGTTTAGGTACAAACTTGTTGTTGACTCACCGCTCCACAGTACTTGACCTTTACAGCCGAATATTTCACCGGCAATCTTATCTTTGCATTTGCCCTGAGTGTTTGATGAGTTCATTTACCTCAAGGCGCACCACACTACAAATCAAAGCGTTGTTTTCAGGTGCAAAATCACCACCAGATTCCATCATTCTAGTGGAGCGCTCCGTTCCAGTTGGCTTGGAATGGAATATTTCAAAGTCAAAGTGATTCAACTGCACCTAATTGACCTTTCTGGTCAATTTGGCATGCAATCCAGAAGTGGCCAAGAATCTATCCCAGTCAATGTGTCGCTATCCAGACACGGTTGGATCCCGACAAAAGCTATCATCATACATACACGCATCGACTTTGGGTGCTGTTTTGCAATGTCGAGGCAGAAATGAGATTCCCTCCTTTGATTTCTTCCTGCTGCCCCCTTGCGAACATTTCAGGTGGCTCGGATGAATGTTTCAAAATTCCACGTATTATAATCTGAAGTGCGTACACCTCTAGACTATATATATTGAACAAATAGTAGATGTTCAAATACAATAGTTGTAATCAAAACAGAATTTCGGTCATTTGACAGTCGAATAAGTCAGATTTATTTTCCGACTCAATCGAACGTCGCGTTTTGTACCACGGCTACGGATTTTCAACGATATCCGGTCTGATTTTGATTGGGACTGTATCTACCAGGAGGGGACGGACTTTGGGGAAAATCCCACTGTTTCATTCATCCACAAAACAAAGATTACACTTTGCGCTCACTTACTAGCAAGTGCGCTGACGCGTACTTTTCTCTCGTACTTCTCTACATACGAGACTATTGGATGGTGACAAGGACAATGACCCGAATTTTTGGCTCTAGTCAATCGGGGGGTGCTCGATGGCGGATCGTATTTCATCGAATGAGCAATTGTAGTCATAACGTTATCACACTAGACCGAAAAGCAAAACGTTCAAAAGCCGATCCTGATGCTATAATGATTGAATCTGGAGTGAAAGCGTCTAGTAGCAGCACATCAAACGAAGATATGGATATGGCTAATAGTGAACATGGAAATGAAGAAGAGAAAGAATCTACAGCATATGAAATGCTGGTGAAGGACTCTTTACTGCAACAATGGTCAGAGGATTACGATGAGACTCTCGAAGAGTATCTGACAATAATTGGGAAGGCAAAGGAGTTTCCTGATGCGCAAGCGGTCAATTTTCGTCAAGAGGTGATATGTGATGCGGTCTTGGCTGCTTTTCAGGGAAACCAAGAGATGATCTCAGAAGCAAAGATTGCTATGAAGACTACCTCAGCCCTTACTATTACGTCGTTGAATTTTCTCAAGCATCAGCAGGAACGACTGAAAATTGAAAATGAGAGGGGTTTGGATTATTTTCTTCACACCGTGTGCATGGAAGTCTTGAAGGAGTACTACAAGAGAACAAAGGAGCAAGCCCGATTGCTAACTGTATTATCTGAATCCAATAATCGTATGGTTCCTGTCAACTATCTCATCAGCAAAACAGAGCTCTCTCATTCCTACGATGTTCACAAGTTTGTTCTTCAAGCTGAGCGCGTCGCGAAATGGTTCGATGCATCAAACGATTCTGTTAA